TGAGAGATTAGCACAAGACAGAGTGGCAGGCTTGCAGGCCCATGGAGCAAGAAAGCTGAGTGTCTTTGGGTAGGAGGCTTGCTGGCAGAGTGGGGTACACCTATCAGCAGAGCTAAAAGAGCTTTGTAAGACTTGTCAGAGCAGGGCAGAGGTCAGGTCAAGAGGCCAAGGGCCAAAGAGAGCCATGGCTATGGGCACGGCAGAGGGGAGTGTCCTGATCAAAGAATTGTATCCTGAGTGTTCCTGAACTTAAACTGTAACCTGTTGCTTCCCTAATAAGCTCATAATCATAAGTATTGTCTGTGAGTTCTGTGTGGCCCTTGCAATGAATTATCAAACCCAACAGAGAAGTAGCTGTGGTGGTGTAGTGGTTAAAGCATTTGGCTGCTAATCAAAAAGATCAGTGGAACCCACCAGTCACTCCAACGAAGAAAGATGAGGCAGTCTGCTTCCATAAAGATTTACAACTTTGGAAACCCAGTGAGGACACATGAGTCAGAATAAACTTGATGGTGATGAGTTTGGTGAGTGAGCAGAGAAGTAGAGAGCGCCATGGAGGGATGGTTGGTGTCAGATTTAGTATAAGGTGGTGGCAGCACGTCTGACCTCTGTTTCACAAGGATCAGCCTTCAGCTGATGCTTCTGATGGTGATTCTGTCTCCTTCTATTTCTGTCTCCCAGTTCTGAAGTTAGAGGAGGTTGAAGGACATCACTTCCATGCCCTTTTTGCAGAATACAGTAACTTAACAAACAAATGCAATGTGAAAAACTGGATACTGATTTCAAAACACTTCAATACAGTAAAGAAGGTGCTCTGGTGGCATAATGCCTAAGGCATTTGACTGCTAACCAGGAAGTTGGTGGTTCAAACTCACCAGCTGCTATATGGAAGAAAGATGGGGCAATCTATTTCCATAAAGATTTACTTCCCTGGAATTATGAGTCAGAATCAACTCAAGGGTGATGAGTTTGGTTTTTCTGGTTTAATAGTAAAGAAGATATCTTTAAACATTTGGGGAAATTTTAAAAAGGACCAAATGTTAAGTGATATTAAGATTGTTAATTTTGTTAGGTTTAGGTATGCTAACAGTATTGTGGTTATGAAAAAAATAAAAAAATAAAAAACCTCTTACTCAGAACTGTATAAAGAAGTGTTTATGAGTGAAATGGCATGATATTTGAGATTTGTTTTAAAATATTAAAAATAAATGGGGCTAGGATAGTTGAAATAAGACAGGGAAAATACTGGTGAGTGTTAAAGCTGGAAGATGGGAACATGGGGCTTCATTTCACTCTTTCTCCTTTGTATACATTTGAAAAGTTTCATAAGATTAAGTTAATAATAATAATACAATTTAGAAAAGGAGATAGAAAAACAAGAAAGAACTAGGACTGAATCACAGCTCAGTCATTTACTAGCTAAGTGACCTTGGGCAAGCTATTTGATATTTGAATAAAAGAATAACAAAGGTACTGTGTGCAAAGCACTTACGATGGTGTGGGCTCCATAGTAAAGCATCATAAATGCTAGTTAATACTGTTACTATCCTGTTTCACATAAAGAAAAACAAATGCAGAAAAAGAAAGGAATCTTCCTAGGGCTATAACCCAAATAAGAGCTGGGTGGACATCCTAGCTCAGGACTTTCCCACTCTGCTCAAGTGTTCTTTTCTGGCAGATCAGAAGTTAATTCTCAAATAAATATTTAAAGAGGATAATAGTTAACAGTGCGGGCCCTATAGCTAGCATGCCTATGCTCAGATGAAGGTTCCTCCACTGGGTGACCCTGGGCAAGTTAGAAAACCTCTGACGTCACTCTTCTCATTTGTAAAATGAAGATACAAACAGTACCTATTCACAGGTTTGCTATGAAGATTAATTATTTAATACACATAACAGTTTAAATAATGTCTGGCACCTAGTATGAATTCAATCATTGTTTGCTGCAATGATCATAATTGTCAGTGTTGTTGTCCTTACACATACTCATCAGTTGGCTTTAGATGAGTAAAGGTCTTATACTACTTCTGAAAACAAAGGCAGTAGTAAAGTGGACTTTCCACACCAAAATAAATTATAAATGGATCAAAAAGTTAAAGCTAAAAAAAAAAAAATCAAATCTTGAAAAATTAGAAGTAAAATATAACTGATACCTAGAAGGATAAAGACTCTTTAGGTTTAAAAGCAATGAATAAAATAGAAAAATCAAAACAATGACAGATTTGATTGCACAATCATTTCAAAACATCTTTGTATCAAAATATCAATCATTCATTGCCATATTATTTGTAATTAAAAGTACTGGGAACAACACCATGTGATCTGCAGCCTATATGACTATAAGACCAAAAGAACTAGATGGTGCCTGGCTACCACTGTCAACCCCTCGGAGGGGGATCTATGTAGGAGATCCTGGATACAGAGAGAGAACAATGTGGAACAAAACTCAAAATCATTTGGAGAAAAAAAAAGGGGGGGAGCAGGTTTGCTGGTCTGATAGAGCCTGGTGGAACCACTGAGACTATGGCCCATAGCTGTCCTTCAGGTCTGGAACTGAACCCACACCTGTGGCTTCCAGTCAAGCAAAACACAGGCATAGGTGTTGAACATTTACCTCAAGTAAATACACTCCTTGGAGAGAACAATCATGGGAGAAAGAAGGGCTGTTTATGCACAGGGAGACAGCTCTGGGGGCAGGGGTGCATAAAAGGATGGACACAGGGAAGAGGTAACTGTCAGGTGAAAGTGGGAGGGGAGCTGTTGCATTGTGGTAAATTGTAGTCAATGTCATGAGACGAAGTGTATGTGAACTGCTGTATGGAAAGTGCTCTGTAAATTTTCACCCAAATCACAATTAAAAAAAAAAAAAAAAGTACTGGGAACAGCATAAATGTTTACTGATGGGAACTATTTAAATTATGTACATCTTTATAGTGGAATTTCATGCACTAATTAAAAAATCAACAAGTGAGGCTCTATGACCTCTATTAGTTAGCATCATTTTGGAGATACCATCTAATACTGTTTGACAAGAAAGAAATTATAGGTAAAGAAAAAATGGAAAGAGAAGTAAAACAAATCTATATGGATAATAAAGATTCTCTAGGTTTAAAAGCAATGAATAAAATAGAAAAATCAAAACCTGATTAAAAATAATTGATTCCTATTAAGTGTCCAAGTGTCTATGATATAAAGTATGAACGTCTTGGGAGACACAGGGCATCCAAGGTCCTCCAGGAGTCATCTCCAACCTGGTTTTCTCCCCTCGGTTCTATCATGTATGCCTTTGCACTCTATACCTGAGCTACCCAGCTCTGTGCCTTTGCTTACCCAGAACCTTCAGCCTGAAATGGCCCCCCACTCCTCTTCTTCAGCCATTTAGGTCTTTCAAACCCTGCTGCAAGTCAAGTCTCATCTAGAACCCCACTGAAAACTAATGACTCATTTCCCGAGCTTGCATGATATGTATCTATTTCATTATGGCTGGTATTATTAGTTGCTTATATGTCTGTGTCTATCAGTGGTCTACAAAATTCTTGAAGTCGAGGCCATGTCTTATTAATTTTTCTCCACTCTACTAGCCTTAACATATTGCTTACCACATGGTAATACACATTTATGCACAAAATAAATATTTTTTGCACAGTATAAAATAAAGTATTACCTGACATATATATATTAAAAAAACCACAAAACTCATTGTCATAGAGTTGATTCCAGCTCATAGTGACCCCCTTTGGGTTTCCAAGATGGTAAATCTTTACGGAAGTAGATTGCCTAGTCTTCCTACCGCTGAGTGGCTGGGGGGTTTGAACCGCCAACCTTCTGGTTAGCAGTCTAATGCCTTAGGCACCGCACCACCAGAGGTCTTTTACCTGACATATAGTAAGCATTAAATAAATGTGAACTTTTTCTAGGAGTAATTAAGAGCTCAATAAACATTTTATAGAAAATGGCAAAACAAGCTGTGCTGTTTTATTATTAGCCACTAAAGTTCTTTCAGAATTGAGACTTGTTGGGAGGAGGAAAATGCAGAACAGAATTCTAAATCTCATGACTCCAGACTTTCTAGAGCCATAGTGAACCCTTGATACTATCACCCTGAGATAATCTGTAAACCTTAACCAAAAATATCCCCTGAAGTCTTCTTAAACCAAATAACAATTTAGCTTAACTAGTACAGAATGTCTGCCTTGACTACTGTGCTCTTTCAAGATCTATGTACACAGGATCAAATTAACAATAGCAACTCAAAAGATTAGATAAGAAATTTAGGGGGGCAGTGAGTTTATGTTAATGGGAGAGGAACAACTCAAAAAAGGAGGGTAAGAATGTCTGTACAACTTGAAGAATGTAATCAATGTCAAAATTTACACATAGAAATGGCCGAATTGGTGCATGTTTTGCTGGGTATATTCTCAACAACAAAATAAAAAAAAAAATTTAAAGACTCATTGGAAAACATTAGTAGAGTAAGATTTTCGAATTCTTCTTTTGGAGACAATAAAAGTTTAGGTAGTAGAACCTCAGAAAGGGCCTTAGGGTATTTTTCAATACTCAATTCATCTGTTATTTAACCTAGTCCCCCTCCACCACCACCCCCCAAGGCAGAATTAACTATTGCTCTATCTGTTTTACCATAGACTTGTATACCTAAAACTATCCTTGTGATTCTTAAGTGCTCCCTGAAGTTAGGCACTTCCACATCTGTGTTCTCATGGCACTTTATATATATACCTCAACTGTGGTCCTTAACCTGCTGCTATGGTTCACTAGATTGTGCAGTTCTCAAAAGAAGGGGTTATGTTCACTTAATCCCTGAAATTTAGTGCAGTTCTTGGTAGAGAGTAAGCACTTAATAAATGTCGATTGAAGGAATAAACAAATAAATGAGTTGTTAATGTGGCAGTCCCTCCAACCAAACTGAACACAGCAAGGGTAGGGAATACATTTTATTCGTCCTTTTGTCCCTAGCACCTAGCACAGTATCTGACACAAAATGAATGTTAATTAAATAGCTATTTATTAAATTGAAGATGAGATAAATACTTGTTTTATTTAAAAAAATGCAAAGGAAGAAAAAGAAAACACATTTCTGATATCATGCAGATTTGTACCAAATATTTATGAATAGATTTTTGAATTGGAGGGGCAGAATTTTTCACCTTGATGATATAGAAAAAGGGGGCTTGGGAACTGAGAAGTCAGGTAACCTTAGTCCTCTAGGGTTTTTAAAGCTACCTAGTCCCAGTGAATGAGAATCTAACCTATCTGAAGTTCTCTAGGCTGTAACTGTCTGCACAGCATCACCCCCAGGATAACACAGTCAGAGCAGGCTGTGATCACATCTCTTAGCCTAAGGGTGCACACCTGTCAGGAAAATTCCTACTGTAGCCTTGGTGAAGAGAAGGAAGTAGTAGGAGCATTACCTGAAGCACAAACAAATAGGGAAACAACACATCTGCTTCAGGAAAAGCACACCAACTCCCTTCCAAAGTACATCAATACAATACACCATCATGGAAGGAATGGAAGAGTGGGATGGAGTTGGCTGGCTGGAGTCACATCTTGGGGAAGCTGGCCAGGTTGGCAATGCCACAGGCGTTGTTCTTATTCCGGGCCATGAGGATATAGCCTTTGTTTCCCCAGTTTTCTCCCCAGCTGCAGGACCAATAAGGAAAAATACTTAGTACCCTCAGTTTATTTATTCATGAAAACACTTACTTAGTATCGTGCTAGGTACTGATGGTATGTGAAAAATGAGTAAGACAATTTTTTACCTTTAAAATCTTTAAAGTTAAGAAATGGAGATAAGGCATAATGCTATCGATCTTAACAGTGGGAGAGACTGCTTCTGGTCAAAGGCATCAGAAAAGGTTTGATGCAACAGATGGTATTTGAACTGAGCCCATAGGCTGCATGACATTTGAACATGTGGAAATGGGACAGCAGTGGAGGGGCATAAAACACACAGTAGAGGCAGGTAAGCAGGAGAGATGAATGAAGTCCTGAGAGTGGATGAGATTGCTAAGGAAAATGAGTGGAGAAAGAGGAGAGACAGGCTGATTACATAATCTTCCTGAATTGTCTTCATGAGTTTTCTTTCCCCTACTAGTAAGTTCTCCAATTACCTAACACATTTTACACAAGGCCTGTGCCCTACCCTTCCAGCCCCTTCTCCAGGGGCCGCCAACGATCCTGATCCTGATGCCTAGGTTTGTCCCTTCTTCACATTTCTCTTAGATAGTGCCTCCACCCTTGGTACCTAATCAAAAGAGGCCAGAGTAAGTGTTTGGGGCTGGGAGTCAATAAATGGAAATCCCTGGACAGAAGCTATGGGAGAGGTACTTCTCAGAAGGCTGCTCGGGTTCACCTTGAGATGGGCCTATGACATAGCTGCTTCAAGTCTTAAGCAGTTCCCAGCCTCACATTCTATGTGTTATCCCTCCAGGCTGCCGTTCACTTCCAGCACCACTGCATTCATTTGTGAACTTTCCAAAGTCTAGGACTCCTGCTCCTTGGAGAGCACCAAGGACAGAAAATTTAATCAGTGCTGTTGCCAGGCTGGTGCTGTCCAATAACAAAAGGAAAAGTGTAATTCTTGGAACTTTGCCCCCACTAAAGCACAGGGGCTAAAGAGAGATGGGGCGCTAAGGTGGCCTGGAGTTTGTTTTCAAAAATAGGGAAGGAAATATATATATATATATTACTTCATATCTTATTTCTAACAAACAGTGTTTCTCTTCACAGATTTCACAACCTTTGGCAGGTTTCTGTACATACCTGTAAGAAGTGTATCTGGAAGGGAGTGGTACAAGGGGATATTAAACACTTACACTGTTCTCCTACTCTTTACAGAGAAACTGATGATGAAGACCTCCCTAAGAAACTGATCATTAAGAGAAAAACGAAAGAGCAAATACATAATTGCCAAGTTTCTGTTGGTTCTTTGTGCTAATTTATGTTATATTACTTACATCTGTCTTTCTGACTGGCTGTGAGATCACGGAAGACAGACATCCTGCTCGTTCAGGACTGTGCATGTGACTAAGCACCCAGCAAATATACCTTGTGCATGGAGCAGCTGCCTAACACGTATTCTGAGTGTTACTGTCTGTTGCCTGGCCATTAAATGTTAGACTCAGAATTAATGAGTGGAACTGGAAGGATGGAACTGAAAAATTTGTGAACTTTCTCTTGGTCTGGGAGAGAGAAGGGGATATTGGGAAGTTGGAGGTAAGGCTGAGTGGTAAGAGGGTGAAAGAATGATAAAAGTACTGTTCCCATCATTACCTGTTTTTAATTATCCAGTGCTTATGTCCCTTCTGGATCCCATATCCCACTGCCAAAACTGCATGGTTCAGAAGATCACTGTTGCAGTTTTCATCATAATACACACCTAGGAAACAAACTATCGAGGTGAGGTGCTCTGCAATTCAAGCATTGCCCTGTGGAGTCTCCAAGTGTAGAAGACCCTCAGGAGACTTCTATCACAGTGAGAAGGGCTTACAAGAGATACTATAGACCATGGCAGCTACTAGTTTCCCTCTGGCAGACTCAGTCTGAATACAAAAATTAAGTACTGAAAATGCCGAGTACCTGCCAAGCCCTCATCATAAAAGACAGATTGTGCTCTATGAGAACAGCTCCTTACCTTTCCTGTAAAACTGGAAGGAGGACAGGCTTGCATCAATGGCCACAGAGATGGGTCCCACTCGGGCCACTGCCCTTTTCAGAGCTTTCTCATTCCCTACAGGGATCTCTCTGTACCCTCTGCATTTAGCTGCTTTGCCTGTTGGGTTGTACATACAACTTTCATCCTGGAAGAAATAAGGTTGAAATAGAACTGGTACAAAGCAGTAGGTAATGAGGGAGTAGGTTGGTGAGGGACAACTCTACCAGTGTTTTGAGTGATGTCAGTGAGGTGGGCTTTCTAGCTTTGAATTAATGGCAGCAGCAGATAAAAGTCTCCAGAGAGGGTCTGTTCCCTCCTCATCATTGTAGAAAACTATAAAAAGGAATATGAAAAGTGGATCCCAACCTTCTACCATCTAAACAAATTCAACCTTCTACACAAAAATCAATTTCAAGTGGTTTCAAGATATAACTGTGAAAAGAAGAACTGTAAAACTTAAAAAAAGAGTGTTTTTTTTTTTTTTTTTTTTGCTTCAGGTTAGGGAAAGATTTTTTAAATAACATTTAAAGAAAAGGATGAATTATCTTCTGGACATATATGTAGTATATATGAGTCCTCAGAGGGCAAGGAGATTCTCACCAGATTATACGTGGGGATAAGGCCAAGATCAAAGTCCAGCTAGATAGAGGATCTTGTCCCTCTGCACCTATATCAATGAAGCTAGTGTAACTTTAGGAGCTCTGGTGGTGTGGTGCCTAAGGCATTTGACTGCTAACCAGAAGACTGGCAGTTCAAACCCACCAGCCACTCCTCGGAAGGAAGATGGGGCAATCTACTTCCGTAGTGATACTGCCTTGGAAACCCAAGGACGGGTCACTATGAGTCAGATCCGACACCAGTGGTTGCGCTGCGTTTGCATTTAGTGTTAAATTTTGGCTGGACCGTTGTGCTCTCATCAGCCCATAGCTATCCAGTCAATTCCAACTCACAGCAACCCTAAAGGACAGAGTAGAATTGCCTCATAAGGGTTCCTAGGCTGTAATCTTTATGAAAGCAGACTGCCACATCTTTCTCCCATGGAGCAGCTGGTGGGTTTGAACCACTGACCTTTAGGTTACAGCCATGCACTCAACCAGTGTTGAGTGCTCCTCTGCTCACATCAGAGGCAGATAAAAGCATGTAACATGACACTAAAATAGATTAATAAAGAATTTAGCAATTCTGCCTGTGACCTTCTAGCACTGCTTTTCAGGTCTAGTTGGCAATGATACATTTCACTGGCAAATCTAACTGAGGAATCTAATGACAGCCCATGTCAAGGTAGTGACATGGCAATTCATTTTCCTGCAGATTCAAAACCCTAAGGTTGTATCTACAGTAAGAATATATCATCTAAATATTAACAGTAATGACAGAATGTGATGTGATATTCAAAGATCACAGTCGTGTCCCACCTTGATAATTTCTCAAGATCCCTTTTTTCTCTGCTACATGATCCAAACCCCTGATGTCTCGTGGTGCTAGAGAGACTGCATAGATCTCTAAGTAAAACTGAATATCTTGGGAATAGAGTCAGAAGGATGTCATGCAATGCCACTTGAAATCAGAGTAACCTATATTATGATTGGAACAAACTTAAATTATTGTCCTTTTAAAGGTCTTATCTGGCTGCTATCTTATCAGAACTCTTCTTTGTTAATTTTTTATTTTTTTAAACCTCCCTTCCTTCATTCACATGCTCATCTGAGAACATCTGAAAGCATTCTCTCAGTTTTCTATAATAACTGCTTTTAGAAACTGTAGATACAGGAGGACAACCACCCAAGATTCAAAATGTTAAAAAATGGAACATGTGCATTATATGATAAGTTCTTTGTTTTAACTTAATTATGAAACCGAAATCATTCTGTATTGCTCTGACATACGAGAAAAATAATCTGAGGGCGTGGGAGAATGGAAATTGGAAATTAAATGCCCCTGTGCATTCCAGAGTAGGGGTTTTACATATTTTATAATTTTCATTTAAATTATTGAGAATCTGAGACCTGTCTCTAACAAATTGATTAACACAGTGCTGAATAAATGTGCAAGCTGTCAATGAATTAGTACTATTAGCTCTGACAGTATTTAATTTCTTTTCCTTTAATATAGTTACACAAACCTTTAAACTGGCTGCCTGGGTTAATAATTATGGAATAAATTATAAACACAAATATGTTATATTATATATATATATATATATATATATATAGATATATAGATATAGATATAGTTAGGATTTGTCTTTTTTATATTAAATGACAAAAAACAAAGTTAAAATATTTTGTTACATTCAGGTATCTCACTGACTGACCTGTTGTATTCAGAATAAAAAATTCATCGTTAGGGCACTTGATACTAGCAGCCCCAGAGTTCAAACATGGATTTGAGACCTAGCAGTTTTGAAAATTTTATATGGACTGAAGAAAGTTTTTCTCTAGGTACAACCTCTTGTATTCCTGACAGCTAAAAAACTATACAAAGGGATAAAAATGGAATAAAACTTACAAAATAAATGACTGTTTTGTTCAGCCACTGTCATGAGAATGTACTGAAGTGACTTCACTATGTAGCTTGCTGAATCTCCATTGAAATGGATTTACTCAGTCTTTTCCATTACGAGCATTTTATTGCAGAAGATTTCATTTCAGATGACTAAATATGAATGAATGGAAGTCACTGTTACTGGATTTTTAAAGTCTTAAATTTCAAAAGAGAAAAATAATTTTACTGCATTAAAATTAAGAACTTTTCCAGATTTAAAGAATTTTCAAGAGTGAAAGACAAACCTCAACCTACAACATAGTATTAGTACCCAAAATATTTTTTAAATTCCAAAAAATAAGGGAAAAAAAAAAAATTAAAAATGGGCAAAAGATATAAACAGTCAATTCACTGGAGAAGAAATGCAAATGGCCATATAAACATACTGATGAAAATGTGAATAGATGGAATTTCTTATACGCTGCAGCTGACAGTATAAATTGTTCCAAATACTTCAGTAAACAATTTGACTTATCTAGTTAAAACTGAAGATGCATGCACACTAAGACCCAGACATTCAGTTCTAAGGTATTGTATCCTAACAAAGAAACCCTTGCATATATACACAAGATATGTATAAAAATGTTATAGCAGATAAACAGACTTGATAGATAAATTTTGGCACTGATACGTAATTAGCTGTATGGATATGGGTATGTTGTTACTTCCTTAAGGGTCAATTTCCTCATCTATTAAAGTGAAGATAAATCTTACAGGGGTTCTGAGGATTAAATGAGAAAATACACTACGCACATGGATTAACATATAGTATTCATCTTTCCTATTACTCAAATCTTACCAACCTCCTATCCCTGCTCCTAAGACTCCTGTCATAAAGGTCTCATATCATATTACCTATATTACCTAAGGGGCCCATATTAAATTACCTATCAGCCCCATGTATACAAAAATTCCTCAGACCTTCTCCCTTTTAGGTAAGAAAGATTTCATTCCTGTTACTAAAGAAGGATCTTGTATGAGGAAGTGAGTTGATTCTTCATCTCTAAAATTGCAATAAATATGAAGCAACTTGTTTTTGTCTTGTTTCATACATGTCAGCATGTTAGCTTATTAATTTGCTTAAACATCCCCAAAACCCAGACTGAGATCATACAAAATAAAGCTACATGGCTCATGAAAATAGCATAGTGGAATGGGGGTTTATAGTGGGAGTGGATGAGTTAAGTTACCAGCAGAGAAACAGAGAGATCTACTCAGAGTTCTAGGGAATAACCTGTCTGCTGTTTTTCTCTCTAGGGCCAGAGAGGCTGGTGGGAGCTGTGGTAGCCTGTGTTCTGAATTTTCTTAGACTGTGGGAATCTCCTTGGCCTTCTGTGGGCAATTATCCCACCAAATTAGAATAAGAGAAAACAAGATTTCTGGAATTGCTTCCAGTACAAAATATCATGTTGGGGAAGGAGGAGCCCTTACAGATAATAATGTCCATTATGATAACTGTGTCGGGTGGTCTCACCTGTCCCACGTATGGGTAGGCATCTTCAGAGTCAATGCCCCGGTTCTTCTGCACATACTGAAAGGCATTGGTCATATAACCCCCTCCGCAGCCATCATTCTCAGATACACAATCCACCAGGTTCTGGGGACTCAGATTTAAGAGTTTCCCAGTTTTCTTCTTGAGTTGGCCCTCCAGAGCACCCACAGAGCTAAAAGCCCAACAGGAACCACACTGACCCTGAAAGGTATACAGAGAAATTACTCGTCATTGCTGTTCACAATTTATCTGTCTTCTCTTTAACTGCCTGATGAAATTCCACACATCTTATAAATTCTAGCACAAATATCACCTTTGTTGTGAAGTATTCCTACTCCCCTTCATTTAACATCTGTTGCGTTGTTCCATTGCTATTGAAAACTGTTGTCACTATTGTTGCTGTTAGTTGTAGTAAGACATAGTAGAGCATATTACCTGCGTTGGAGTCAGTTCACCTGGGTTCTAACTCTGGCTTTGCCACCTACTAGCTATGTGAACTTGGGGAAAGTTACTTAACTTCTCTGTGCCTCAGCTTCCTTATGTGTAAAACGTGGATGATAATAATAAGTATCCTGGTAGACTTCCAGTAAGATGGAGGAATAGGCAGACAAGTGATACAGACCTTCTTCAACAAAGAAAAGAAAAAACAGTTGACAGACATACAGAAGATAATCCTGGAGCCCTGAGCTTTGAAAGGAACTATATAGAAGTGGATTGTTATTGTTGTTATGTGCCATCAAGTCAGACCCGACTCATAGCAACCCCTCCTTAGGTTTCCGAGGCAGTATCACTACGGAAGTAGACTGCCCAACCTTCCTTCCAAGGAGTGGCTGGTGGGTTTGAACCGCCAGTCTTCTGGTGAGCAGTCAAGTGCCTTAGGCACTATGCTTCCAGAGCTC